AGATCTGTATGTTTGGCGGACCTTGGCCATTCCCCTGGCAGGAGGCTGGGTATGGTGACCAAGAACAACCCTTAAATATCACAGAGCCTAGGGAGCAGGGTCAGTATTGGGTGGAAGATGAATTGAGAGGAAGGCTGGAGTGTGGAGCCTGGGAGGGGGCTCCAGGGGGGTGAGCCTACCTACTGGCAGGATTCTGGAAAGGAGGATCTCCACTGTGCCTCTGTCTCCTGGGGAGGATAGCCTGTGCAGCAGGGAAGGAGGCAGCCCAACGTGGGGCCTGAAGGCAGCCACCAACCCACTGGGCTAACAGAACAGGACAGGACAGTGTGAGTACTCCTACACTCCCTGGACCAGATAAGTGGAGAGGGCGGTCAGGTGCAAGACACAACTAGTTCTCATCCAGGACTACTTCGTTGTTAGCTCTTGGGACCCCTTGCCTAGGAATACCCTCAGTGCAGCTGGGTGAAGAGGAGGAGTCATCCGGGGTCTGAGGAGGTACATCAAGGAGACTTCAGTGCTCCTTAAAGAGGCCGTGCAATTTTCTGATTCACATTTTGGTACAGATTTTGTAGCTAAGAAGTTCGCCCTCGAGTTTTGCAGTTTCTTGGGCATCCCATATACCCCTAGACCCCATCCAAGTTGTTGACCCCTAATGAAAAAAAAACTAAAACCAATTCAAGAACTGCATACTGACTCTGGATCTGCAAGTGTGGAAAATACGTGTTTCCGTGCTGTGCATAGCTTAGGGGGACCCAAAACAAATCCACTGACCCTCAAGAAGGTAGTGCTACACCCAATTAACACTTGGAATGAACTTCCTTCTGGATTCTAACTTTTTCTAACTTTGGCTTCATTCTCCAGATTAGAGAGAAAACCAAAAAAAAAAAACTTCAAAGACATTCTAAGTCCTCCTCACTCAATCCAAAATCGAAAATGTGTTGAATAAAGTTCCACTTTAAAGTAACCTAAGCATACATTTCAAAACTCACCCCAATATTTCCCTAACCCAAAAAAGGACCTCTGTTGCAGAAGCTTTGTCCAAAAAAGGCAATCAGAGGACAAAGGACTAGTCACCAGTAGGCTCCCTGCAGCTGATCTTTTCCCCATAAGGGTATATGCACACAGAAAGTATTTAGGCATATAATACTCCTAGTATAAAAAATAAAATCTATGATTTCCCACCGCTAGGGAGCCACAGGTGTGGTGTACCACAAGTCATAGAAAATAATGCCTGTACACCCCTGTACTCATGTAAACACTGATGTTTCATTGGATCAGCATTCACCCACATATGCATGTATGTAGTATTCTATTGAACATGACACTCGGGTAAACCTTGATAAAATGAAACGTTGGCATTTACCTGGGTACAGACTGTGTCTGAAAGTTGGCATCAGTATCACAAACTAAGTATCTCTTGATGAAGATCTATCCCTAAACCACCGCATTGAATTATGAGAGTTGTTCCCTTAGCTTAACATTCTCTAAACCTGTAAGCTGCAAAGAAACATTCAGTGGCTGCAGACACTGGATCCTCATCCACCTACTATTACCAAATGTGGTTTATTAAAGTGATTGTAAAGGTTTTTTTCTTTAAAATATCAAACATGTCATACTTAACTGCTCTGTGCAGTGGTTTTGCACAGAGCAGCCCCAATCCTCCTCTTCTGGGGTCCCTTGAAAGGGCTCCTGGCTCCCCCATTGAGTACCCCCCCTCCTATCAAGCAGCTTTCTGGGGGGATACTCATGACGGCTCAAACCGAAGTAGGGTTGAGTGCATCTATTGACGCACACAGCCCTGCCCCCACTCCTTTGTCATTGGACTGATTGAGAGCAGCAGGAACCAATGGCTACTTCTGCTCTCACTGAGTCCAGTGAGGAGGCAAAGTGAGAGCAGCACCACTGCTCTTGGGTATAGCTCTGGTTAGAGATCAGGTTAAGGTAAGTATATGGGGGGGGGGGGCAGGGGGGAGAGCTGAACCTAAAAGGTTTTTTACCTTAATTCAAAGGATCCATTAAGGTAAAAACCTTTAGCCTTTACAACCACTTTACGTTTCAACATAAAAAAAAGTTCACTTCAAGGAAAAGATTTAATTCCCATGGGCTTAATGCCTGAAAAAATATTGATCAGTTGTGAAACTGATCCTACATCATACACTGAGGATCAAAAACTGAAATTCTATCACCTCACTGGGTCAAAAACACCTGATGTGTCCAAATATCTGTCACTTTATGGGTATTGCATACCATCTGCTGAGTACTCATGCCAAACAACAAGATAATCCCATGTTAGAGATATCCAGGAAGATCGCACAGAGCAGAATCTAACAGTTTAAAAGTTCACCCAAAAGGAAATTTCAGTTTTGGGTGAATGCCAGAGACTTGATTCACTCATATTTATCTGTCACTCATACATATTTGTTGAGTACTCATTTAGAATAGGATTATACTCAGGGGCGGACTGACAACTCATGGGGCCCCCGGGCAATAGGGGATCATGGGGCCCCTGTGTCCTTGCCCAAACTCAAAAAAGCCTATGAAAAAGGTACCAGGGGCATCTCATGGGGAAAAAAAACACATGACCATGAAATCTTAAAGCGGAGCTCCACCCAAAAGGGGACGTTCCACTTTAAAGACTTGTCCCCAGCTCTCCATTATGGATTGGCACCTTTGGGGAGCGGTACCTTAACCACTTGCCTACCAGGCACTTATACCCCCTTATTTACCAGGCCAATTTTCAGCTTTCAGCGCTGCCGCACTTTGATTGACAATTGCGCGGTCATGCAACATTGTACCCATATGAAATTTTGATCATTTTTTTCTCACAAATAGAGCTTTCTTTTGGTGGTATTTAATCGCCACTGGGCGCTTTACTTTTTGCGCTAAAAATAAAAAAAGTGTAAAAAATGTGAAAAAAAAAAAAAAGTTTCTTTGTTTCTATTATAAAATTTTTCAAACAGGTATTTTTTCTCCTTCACTGATGTGCGTTGATGAGGCAGCACTGATGGGCACTGATAGGCGGCACTGATGGGCACTGATAGGCAGCACTAAAAGGCACTGATAGGCAGTACTAATGAGGTGGCACGGATAGGCGGCACTAATATGCAGCACTGATAGGCGGCACTGATAGGTGACACTGATGATGGGTACTGATAGACGGCACTGACTGGCATCACTGATGGGCACTGACTGGCGGCACTGACTGGCACAACCTCTGGGCACTGACTGGTGGCACTGACTGGCAGCACTGCTGGGCTGCACTGGTGGGTGGCACTGGTGGGCAGCACTGGTGGGTGGGCACAGGTGGGTGGCACTGGTGGGCACAGGTGGGTGGGCACAGGTGGGTGGCACTGCTGGGCACAGGTAGGTGGTACTTCTGGGCACAGGTGTGTGACACTGCAGAGTGGCACAGGTGGGTGCACTGCTGGGCACAGGTGGGTGCACTGCTGGGCACAGGTGGGCGGAGCTAGTGGGCGCACTACTGGGCACAGGTGGGCGGAACTTGCGGGTGGCACTGCTGGGCACCGATCATCAGGGCACTGATCATCAGTGCCCTGATGATCGGTGCCGATCCCTGCTCTGACAACTGCCGGTTCTCGGCAGTACTTTCCTCACGATCTGACAGCGTGAGGAAAGTGCAGTAGAGAACCGGCACTTGCATTTCCCTCTGATCAGCGTGTCATTGGACACCGCTGATCACGTGGTAAAAGGCCGCTGTGATTGGCCTTTTACCACATCACGTGATCAGCTGTGTCCGTAGGACACAGCGATCACGGAGATCGCCAGGTGCGCGCCCCCTGGGGCGCGCAGGAGAGCGCGTTCTGGGAGGACGTCATATGACGTCCACTCAGAACTGGCTGGCCGCAGTGCAGCCGTCATTGGCTATCTGCGGTCGGCAGCTAGTTAAATTGACAGATACTGGCTCCTACTTCCGCTGCAATCGCCTAGGCGATCGGAAGCGGAAGTTGTCCTCCTACCCTCCTGCCCCGTAGTCTTCTGGGACATGTGACAGGTCCCAGAAGACTACAGGGCCATTCACAAAGCGCAGCGTTAGTGGGCACCCAGCTGTGAAGCCGCAACCTGTCACAGCCGGGTGCCCACCCTGAAGATGCCAGCGCCTGGAGCACTAGATAGCTGGTGAAACAGGCTGCGGGGAGGACACAGCGGGATCGTGGGACAGGTGAGTGGCTGTTTTTGCAGCTGCTGACTTACTTTTTTACAGTGTGAGTGGAACTTAAGAAACCCTTCACACTGATCCTTTGTGGATCCGCTGCATTTAGTAAAATCCTACTTGCTGCATTTTTAGTGAGGTAAAAAAAAAATCGCACCCCTCATTGAAATGAATAGAACGCAGTTGCATTTTTGTTAAGGTTTTTGAGTCACATGTCCTGTGAAAAATGCATATGCGTTTTTGCTAGGGATCAGTGTGAAAGTTGCCCAAGACTCTGAACACCTTTTATTTCGATGCACCTGGAGCGTTTTTAGCCGATTTAAACCGAAGGCTCAGTTGAGCTCTGAACTCAGCCCTGTCTGTCAATAAGATAAATACCATTTTCAGTGAGTAAACTCTAATTCATACTGTGGGAAGAATATGTTTTTAATGCTTCCCAGCTGTACTGCCTTAATCTAAAAACATTTTTTATCTCACGCATTCTCCTTCCTTGAGAAAGACAATCAAATCCTCTAACTGTAGCTGCACTTTTACAATATTACGGTTTTCAGAATGACCAACAAAACTCGTCTTGTTCAATTTACAACACTTCCCCTTTGTCAACTTCACTTTTTTTTGGCCTTGATCCAGCCTGTCAGTAGAATAGGATACGCCTTGTTTAAGCTTATTTATTTTACATGTCGATAGCTTTTCTCCACCTCCTTCAGACATGCTAGAACCATTCAGGAGCAAAACGTTTCAGACAGATGAGCTGTCCGCTACTCTCAGACATTTGCTGCTGCCTCCTTTTGGCTGCAGGACAAATTTAACCACCGTATTGAATTTTCACATGGAGTACTATCCTTGTTCCAACAACCGAGCTATCCAAGGTAGCTACTCGGTCTTACCGGGCATCCTATTATTTTCCGCTGGAGTCATAGGGAATGTCCTTGCCATTGTAATCCTATGGCAACACAAGCTACGGGGAAATAAGAAAACCACTGTTTTTTACATTTTGGTCACTGGATTGACTATAACCAACCTGATGGGAAAATGCTTGGTCAGCCCAATGGTTCTTGCTGCCTACTCCAAAAATCAGACTTTGGTGGAGATGGTTGGAAACAGAAACCTTTGTGACGTTTTCAGCTTCCTCATGATATTCTTTGGCTTGGCACCAATGCTCATTCTTTTTGCAATGGGTCTAGACTGTTGGATTGCCCTTGCTCACCCGTTCTTCTACCACAACTACATCACCAAACGGGTTGGTCTGTTGGTTCCCCTCATTGTCTACATCTTCAGTGCCGGGTTCTGCTCCTTGCCTTTTGTGGGCTTTGGCAAATTTGAGCAGTATTGTCCTGGAACTTGGTGCTTCATTCAGATGTCTGTGGAGGGCTCAAAGCCCGAGGTCCTGGCTTATTCCGTGCTCTATGGGACCATTATGGGAATATTCATTTTCGCCATCATCGTCTGTAATGTGGCTATAATGAGACGCCTTTACCAAATGTACCAGATTCAAAGCCAAAGGAATGTCAAATCTGGAGTGAAAGGGGAACTTGTTAAGCAAGCAGGGATGGAAGAGATGGATCATCTTATCCTCTTGGCAGTCATGACCGTTCTCTTTACTGTGTGCTCACTTCCTTTAACTGTATGTATTGCCAAAATAATTGGGTTACTTAAGGTGTGCTACTGTTTAATCACAAGAAGTGGTATAAATCAGCTCTTTACTCCGTAACAGGGAATATCAATGTTATTTATGTCTGTTGTTTAGAAAATGCACACACACAATTTTTCTTTTAACAATGATTCCAGTTATGCACTTAACGCTTTTCATGCAATAATAGCTTTTATGACAATACAAGAATGGTTACAATACTCTTTTTGTGAAAGGAAACCGGTCATGGAAGTGAAGGGTAGAAACCAATTACATTATCTAGAGGGGCCTGCAAGTACCTGTCATATCTTACGTATAGGTTTGTGTGCACCTGGGGAGCCCCCTGACCCTGGGAACAATGCCCATGTAGGATTCGGCTTCTGCTCTTACTTGGAGCCCTGCCATGCCTCTGCAATCTAACTACTGAACCTCAGTAGCCAACAGCTATATTAGACCTCAAGGCAGCTGTGGGCATAGAGAAGCACCAAGTCAAAGACTTAACACCCAGGATTGGAGTGCAATGGAAGTACAGAGAAAACACAACTTGATGTGACAGATTATGATTCACATCTCTGTGGTCCTGCGGGCCATGATTGCATGGGCACAAGAGCCCATTCATTTGAATGGACTCCCATGCCTCAGGACACGCAGGGAAGAAGTCTCTGCACTACTTTGGAAATCGTAGCCCGCACAGGAAACGGTGTTCCCAGTACAGCCGCGATTTCCAGCACGGGTGGCGTGCCATTAGAATTAATGGCACCCACATGCGGGTCCCGCATTCCTCTGTGTAGGTGGTGCAGCTGCAGGTATTTGTGTGGGTCCTGCACAGGGACGGACTGACCATTTGGAAACTCGGTCACTGCCCGAGGGCCCTGGGTCAGTAGGGGGCCCCATGAGATGCCCCTGGTACGTTTTTCATAGGCTTTTTGGAGTTTGGGCAAGGACACAGGGGCCCCATGATCCCCTATTGCCTGGGGGCCCCAAAGGTTGTCAGTCCACCCCTGGTCCTGCAGTGGCACCACCTGCACAGATGTAAACCAGGGGTAAAAGTGTATTTTTATCATGTAGGTCCTCTTTGCATTCACACATTGGATTCACAGGAAAGGTTCACTTTAACCCCTTCACGCCTAAGGGTAAAACAAATCTAAATGCCTAAGCACAATTCTGCAACGTTGACATGTGTTAGTAAAACCATCCATATCATCACAACTACTTTGTACATCCAGGTAGATTATACCTTGTTTTTTTTCAGGACATATTGGGATTTCATTTGGTGGTAAATGGTAATGGATAGCTCTTAATTTTTTTTTTATTATCAAAGGAAAACTGGCCCAAAATCGTAAAAAAATCATTTTTTTTTATTTAGCTGTGTGTTTCTTGTTACAACCATAAGCTACCTCCATAGAACAACCCAAAATAAATTCTCCAGCTCTTGCCGATCGCAGCGATACAATATATGTGTATTTTATTTGTTGTTTGTACCCGTAGTACAGCCCAGAACAATAGTGCGCATTTTGTTTTTGTGTTTTTGTTTTTTTTTTACCTAAAACACACTGACACTGACATTAACACTAACTGACACTGATTCCAATTTTTTTTTTAAATCCTGACATTTGACCCTGACCTTTGACCCTGACCTTGACCCAAACACTAACCCTGACACTGAACTAGATCGAACCTTGATCTAGGTATTTTTCTTTATTTTTAATTTTATTTTTTTTAATATTTATTTATCTTCTTTATTTTTTTTTTTACAAACATTTTTTTATCTCTCTATGTCAGGAGTTAGAGAGATACAATGTATCTCTCTTCTCCATTCATAGAGAGAGAAAAAACAAGGGGGCCGGGCTGCACAATGACTGATCACTGTGATAGCCAATCAGAGGCTATCACAGCAATCACCTGACCCGGAATCGGGAGTCCCGGGTCCCGATCGTTAGAACTGGACCCAGGGCTCTCAGTGACACCGCGGTCTCTGTGCTGGGAGCACGCCAAGCGGCACGCTCCCAGCACAAAGACAGGTACGCAAATATGAGGCCCCACGGAAAAAAGCCCAGTTCCGTGAGGCCGCATATTTGTGTGCCGTCGGCGTCAAGGGGAATGCCATTCCAGTTAATGTGCATACCTAGCCAATTTTGGATAGAATTTGAATAGAACGTTGAAGGATTAGAGCCCCAGTTGGGTTTGCACTTCTATTCCAGGTTTTGTTAGAGAAATTTCCCTTCATTAGTCATGAGAACAATTATTTCATCAGACATAAGTTAGGAAAAATATCCAACTGCAACAAGGACAGAAAGAATATTTTTTGCAGAGTATTTTAAAAGTTAGATCTCCCGTCAGCTTATTATTGCTGTTTGTATCGCTGTTGCAGATTCTTCATATGTTCAGCCTGGTAAAACCGTTGTCTGATGATATACTAAAAGAGCTGAGAATCCTCCACAATACATTGGCTGAATATACACTTCAATTACCTAATCGTGTGCAGATAAAATAAGTAAACAGGAATTTGTTTTTCACATTTATTGTGATGGATTTACTAAAGGCAAATTGACAGGGCACTTTGCAAGTGCATTTGCTCCGGAGCTCAGTAGATGAGGTAAAGTTTCCTTAGGCAAAGAATACCCAATTACATGCAAGGAAAAAAAAAAAAAAAAAAAAACAGCATTTTGCTTGCACAATTTACTAAGCTTTGGAGACACTGCACAGTCTATTTGCCTTTAGTAAATCTACGCCATTATGTGAAGATTCTCAACTCCTTTAGGAAATCCACCTGGTAAGTATGAGAAAGTAGAGTGAAATTAGTCTAATTGTCTAATGGATAGCAGCAGAGGCGTCCCTAGGGTTGGTGTCACCCGGTGCGGTAACACTTGGTGACACCCCCTCCGACAATCCCCGCAGAATGGATCGGATCTGCGGATTGAGCATAATGGATTGGACTCCGATCCATTATGCTCAATCTGCAGATCCGACCCATCCTGAGGGGATCGTCGGCTTTCTTTACAACCTACCTTTTCTTGGAGCAGGTCCAATGTCACCCCGATGCCGACGATCCCCGCAGGATACTAATCCTTCCCATTCTGTCCAACTGTCCAATATGAAGGACAGTTGACAATACCAAAAAAAAAAAAAAGAAAAGGTTTACCTTATAAGACTAGAATGGCTAACGTGCATTAATACCTATCTATCAGAAACTATAACTATGGGGTTGATTTACTGAAGGCAAATAGACTGTGCACTTTGCAAGTGCAGTTGCTCTGGAGCATAGTTAATAAGGTGAAGCTTCACTTTGCAAAGAATACCCAATCACATGCAAAGAAAATAGAATAAAACTGCATTTTTGCATGCACGTGATTGGATAATGGAGGTCATTAGACCTTCCCCTCATTTACTAAGTTTTGAAGGCACTGTTCTTGCAAAGTGCACATTCTATTTGCCTTTAGTAAATCTACCCCATTATGTGAAGATTCTGAACTCCTTTAGGAAATCCACCTGGTAGGTAGGTATCAGTAAGTGGAGGGAAATGAGTCTAATTCTCTAATGAATAGTGGTAAAAACCCTTATAGGGATTCTAATCCTTCCCATTCTGTCCAAAATGAAAGACAGTTGCCAATACAAAAAAAAAAAAAGAAAGGTTTGCCTTATACTGTCAGGGCAGATCAGCTAACATGTACGTTAGTACTTGGCTATTACAAACTTTGGGGTTGATTTACTGAAGGCAAATAGACTGTGCAGAGCTTAGTAAATAAGGTGAAGCAGAGGCGTAACTTGAAGCTTGTGGGCCCCGATGCAAAAGTTGACCTGGGGCCCCCCACTAACACCCTCTGCTTCCATCGCATGTCAAGATACTCCAAGTTATTTCAGATCTTTATTTACATATTGAGAGGGTAATTCAAAGGATTTTGGAGAATCTGTCCACATTTAGATATACCTCTCCAATTATTTTGAATACTTGTAAGCAGACTCCAGTGTAGAATGTAAAAATGCTTGCAAGAATATATTACAACCTTTTATTTCCATCCCCCCAGTGAAATCATTAAACTCTCTCTTCTCTCCTATTCTCTTCCTCTCTCTCTCTCTCTCTCTTTCCTTCTTTCTCTCTTCCCCCTCTCTCTCTCTTTCCTTCTTGCTCTCTCTTCGTCTCTCTCTCTCTCTCTCTCTCTTCCTCCCTCTCTCTTTCCTTCTTGCTCTCTCTTCCTCTCTCTCTCTCTTTCCTTCCTGCTCTCTCTTCCTCTCTCTCTCTTTCCTTCTTGCTCTCTCTTCCTCTCTCTTTCCTTCCTGCTCTCTCTTCCTCTCTCTCTATCTTTCCTTCTTGCTCTCTCTTCCTCTCTCTCTCTTTCCTTCTTGCTCTCTCTTCCTCTCTCTCTCTTTCCTTCTTGCTCTCTCTTCCTTCTCTCTTGCTGTCTCTTATGCAGGCCATAGACGGTTCGTTTATAGGCCAAATTTTCATCCGAAAGAATAATTGGATGATTTTTGCACCGATAACGGGGCAATTTTCGCAGTTCCTCCTCATTTCTTTTATCGGTCATGCTGGAAAAATGGCAGATTTTCGTAATCATTGGTGGCAACAGAACGACCGATGTTTCGTTATTCGGCCAATAAACAAACAAACAGTCTATGGCCTGCATTACTCTCAAATCTCAAACTTTACTTCTAACTCATTCTCTCTTTCTGTCTTTCTCTCCCCCATCTATTGTTCTCTTTCCATTACTTTCTCTCCCCTTCTTTCTCTCCCCTTCTTCTCTCCCCCCCTCTCGCTCTCCCCTTCTCTCTCTCCCCTTCTTTCTCTCCCCTTCTTTCTCTCCCGTTCTCTCTCTCCCCTTCTCGCTCTCCCCTTCTCTCTCTCCCCTTCTTTCTCTCCCCTTCTTTCTCTCCCCTTCTTTCTCTCCCGTTCTCTCTCTCCCCTTCTCGCTCTCCCCTTCTCTCCCCTTCTTTCTCTCCCCTTCTTTCTCTCCCCTTCTTTCTCTCCCGTTCTCTCTCTCCCCTTCTCTCGCTCTCCCCTTCTCTCTCTCCCCCCTTCTCTCTCTCCCTTCTCTCTCTCCCTTTCTCGCTCTCTCATGTTCTCTTTCCCTCTTTTTTCATCCTCATTGAACCTCACTCCATTATTTCAGTGTCAGTTCACACCACAAACTGCATGTGATATGCACAGCGACACTCTGCAGCTCCTGTGCAATTCACGTGCAGTTCTGCGCAGTGCAATTTCAGCCCATTGAATGGACAGAAATTGCACCGCACCACAAGTATTGCATGCACTAATTTTTAAAATGCACTGCAACAAACGTACCATGCGATCTGGTGTGAGCAAACACACTGCACGTGCGACCTGTGATTAGGGTATCATTAACTTTTTACTGACACCCACTGCAGATAGCAAATGGAGTGTGTTTTGCATGGAGTGTGAATTGCACAGGAACGCACAGCACGATCCCATGTGATTCCTTTGCAGGCATGGTGTGAACCAGCCCTGGTTTCTTCAGGTGTTCATCTCTTTCTTTTGTCTGTATGCAAGAAAAAAAAAATAAACGTTTGGCTTACTGCACACTGAAGGACATTTCCATTACACTGGTTCAAATAATACAGGCAGTCAGTGTCCTAAACCATTCACAGGCAAGACCATAGTATCTATAATGTGAAAGTTAATGCTTCTGTCTGGTGAACAATCACCACATGATCGCAACTGTGACTTCTGTGACCCCTGTTACGCCAGTGAGGTGAAGCTTTACTTTGGAAAGAATACCCAATCATATGCAAAGAAAAAAAAAACAGCATTTTTGCTAGCACATGATTGGATAATGGAAGTCATTAGACCTTCCCCTCGTTTACTAAGCTCTGGAGACACAGCACTTGCAAAGTGCACAGTCTATTTGCCTTTAGTAAATATACCCTATTATTTGAAGAGTCTCAACTTCTTAAGCAAATCCGCCTGCCTAGAGAGTATCAGTAAGTGGAGGGAAATTATTCTACTTTTCTAATGGAAAACCTCAAAAGGTATTCTAATCCTTCCCACGCCATCCAAAACAAAAAAAGTTTTGGACAAATAAAGCAGGATATTGATTCAAAATGAAGA